TCTCTACATTTGTTACCATGAAATTAGAATAGGCTCAGATAGAAAAATAAAAAAATTATTTGGTAAGTGGTTATATTTAAGCCCAAAATAAAAGGGAGTATATGTTCATTAATTTTTTTGAGGATTTAGGTTGTTTTTTGGTCTGTAGATTATTTCCTAAAGTTGTATTTTATGACAATGTTAGAGTAAGTGGTTATATTTAAGCCCAAAATAAAAGGGAGTATATGTTCATTAATTTTTTTGACGATTTAGGTTGTTTTTTGGTCTGTAGATTATTTCCTAAAGTTGTATTTTATGACAATGTTAGTATCACAAAAGTCTTTCCCCTGTGATACTAAAGACAAGTCTTTCCCCTGTGATACTAACTAAAAGAGAAAAAAGAAAGCAAGAAAGGAGAATTTCATGGTCACATTAGTTAAGAAAATTGTGGTTTTCTGCAGGATTTTTCTGAGCCTTTAATGTTGTTACAGGTTATTGTAGTAATTTATATGATGTCATAAAAGTCTAAACTGTGACAGCTGCAGAGACAGACGAATGGTGTTTAGGGAGTTTTTAAGGATTGGAGTCAATATGTCTTGGACATTTAATTGATGTTAGCATAAGGTCAAGGGATAAGTGAAGAATAGTCTCCAGGTTTCCTCTTTGGTCAGCTGAGTAGATAGTGATGCCATTAATGGAGAGAGACTGCAGGAGAAGGAGCAAGTTTGAAAGGAAGATAATTAAATTTATTTAGATTGGATTGATTGAATTCAGAAGTTTTGAGACATTCAAGTGCCTCATGTCCAGGAGATAATTAGGTAGGTCTGTATCTTGGGGATACAAGTCCCCCTTCTGAGGGACTTGTGATAGTTAAAACCACAGGAGTGAATACTGTCCCAGTGGGGTATGTAGTATAAGAAAAGAAAAGGGCCAAGGGTGACACCCTAAGAAACACCAACTTTGAGATGAGTGATAGAGGTACTGGAGAGGGAAAAACAACAGTGGGAAGGTTTTTGGTTTTTTTTTTCCTTCTAGAGCCTATGGGAAAGAGGATGCTTTTTTCCACCGAGATGAATATTAAGAAAAGGAATGTCTGCGAACTATGGAGATTGCATCTTGCTTTGTTTCATTTATTTAGCACTCTATGTCATACCTAACAATACTACTACGTTTCTTAAGTTTATTAACAGGCAGGGAGAAGTCTCTAAACCCAGTAGGGGTTGTGATGGTACTGTCGTAGGATTTTTATATTATTTTAGGAATGGATTTTTATTCTTACTCATATTCTTAAGAAAATTGAAAAAGAGAATTTTTCCTTTTTCTGGAACTGTTCCTGGGATACTAAAATAAGTATAAGAATTGTTATTTCAAATCACCTTATATTCAGGGGGAAAACATCCAGGAAATTCTGACTTGAAAAAAGACAATTTCACATTTACTATGAGATTGCAAAGTCCTTGACTCACACCTTTCAGTTTGAAAACTTCAGTGGCAAACTGGAATGGGAATGAATAAATACATGACTCAGACCAGTGTTATGGAAAATATCTTCCAAAATAATATTTGTATTTTATGCCAAAATGAACTAAGTCTAGCAAGTGTTTTAAGATAATATTAGTGATTAATTGATTTGAGGGCAATGAAAGATTGGTATTTAATTTCTTCTTTGAAATTTAATACTTCACCTTTGATGTCTTCACATAGTTGTAGGTACATGTCTCAAGTCATGAAAGCATGATCTTAAGCTCTCAGGTACCTCTGATACCAGTATTATCCAACTCTGCTTGGGAAATAACTTTTTCAACTAGTCTAGAGTTGCTTATACAGTACTGAATTAATCATCACTAATTATTTTGATAAGATTACAGTATTCCGTATTAACATATACTTACATCTTTGCAATTATTATTTTTGTTCCTGTAAAATTGTATTCAGTGGAGTTGAGCTGGTAGAGTGAGCAGGTTGTTGTTTCCTGCAGCATTTTTTATAATGATATGTATAATGCCATACATATCTCCGAACATCTCTAGGAAGAATTATAATGTCTGAAAAACACTTAGAAGCTGTTGGATACAGTGTATCTCTTTATAGAATAATTAATTTGGGGCTTTAATCCAATGTCTTGATAATGAAAGGACAAATTCATATGTGTAAATATAGCACTGTTAAGAACTCTCACATAACTAAAATTACTTGATCATATGTGCCTTTATAGAGATGTGCTGTAGCTTCAAAGATATGCCTTTGTCTTCTTAAAGTCTATATTGTGTATTAAGAAACATGCAGCAGAGTGAATTCATTTTGATAGGTACTGTCTTTTCAAAGAATTGGTAACTTCTAATAACATTTGTCAATATATACGTAGATGTGCATAAAAATATAACTTCTTGCCGTCTGACATGGGTTTTTCTGGCTTTCTGTGCCTTTATCAATTCAGTGTTTTGCTCTTGGTCATGTGAACTTTTCACCAATTGGATTTTGAGTTTTTCCTAGTTTGTGTTTTAACAAATTGTTTTTGTTTTTGTTTTTGCTTTCATATTTCAATCATTCTGGTGTAGGGCATTTCTGATCTGCAATTGTTCTATAATATGTCTTAGTAAATTTTAAGTGATACCAAGACATAATAGTATACTCATTTTACTTAAGATATAGTTAAGTATTTTTAAATCAAAATCAATCATCTAGAATTTTGAAATTAAAAAAAAAAAGTAAGCCAACATGCTATATAAACCTATTCTGTACTTACACACTGAATGTGTACAATCTTACTTAAAACACAATCTCTAAGAGTTTCCAGAAGTGTAAGTTTTAAGGAAAATGTTTTAACTTTGTTGCACAGAAATGTTTGCAGATCAGCATTGCTGACTACCAAAAAAACATATAGTAACATGCAATGTCATCTGATTTTTAGTTGTGCTTCCATGTTGCTGCAGTTAAATTCTGTGCATCAAAATAATTGGCCTTCATGTACTAGATGTATTTCAGTTTTAAGTTGTTATTGAAAATATGCAAACTGAGTGAATTATAATTTTTCCATATATTTTTATAGCTTTGTTGTCTCTGATAACATCTCATTTGACATGTTTTTTCTGTTTGTCATTCAAGAGAAAATTGCATCTTTAGCATGAAACCGTAAATTTCCTAGTTTTTATGTAGAACTACTATAATTTTTTAATGTCCATTTTTGACAAAGATCATTTAATTTTCCCAGAGCTTTAGTTCACAGAAATGTCTTTTTCCCCCAATCCTAGGCTTGCTTTTTCTTCAGTGTAATATTTGTACATTTTAAGAAAAATTTCCAGTTAAGAGACATCTTGCTCATGATGAAATACTTTAAAGGGCTTAATAAAATGTTTCTTCGGTATTCATGTTTATCTTATCGTCAGACTATGTGGTAGTAGGAAAAATCTTCAAATTTCATTAATACCTCTTAGCATGAACAAATCTATTTGAAGAGTTATCAGAAACTTTGAAATTCTACTTAATTTTACTAGTCCTTAGATAACTATACTTTTAGAAATGTACACAATCATTTGCATTAGAACTATCTCAATTCGAAATTAAAAGGGAGACTATTTCTACCATTTGGCTTTAAATGAAAACTGAAATAAAACTTTTGGAACTTTTCTTTAGATGTGTGTTCAATATATCTATGCTTGTTTTTAGAAAACATATTTGTGGAAAAATTTATAGGCATCTCAACATTTATTAAATGTTTAAACCATATTCAAAATAAAACTTTTGGAACTTTTCTTTAGATGTGTGTTCAATATATCTATGCTTGTTTTTAGGAAACATATTTGTGGAAAAATTTATAGGCATCTCAACATTTATTAAATGTTTAAACCATATT